CTCGCTTTTACTTAAACTCAAACTGCTGAATAAACCCCTTTCCACATACTCACACTCTCACTCTCACTCTCACTCACACTTACACTTACACACACACACTCACACTTACACACACACTCACACTTACACACACACTCACACTTACACACACACTCACACTCCACACACACTCACACTTACACGCACACACTCACACTTACACACACACACTTACACACACACACACACACACACACTTACACACACACACACACACACACACTTACACACACACACACACACACACACACACACACACACACACACACACACACACACACACACACACACACACACACACACACACACACACACACACACACACACACACACACACACACACACACACACTTACACACACAACACACACACACTTACACACACACACACACACACACACACACACACACACACTTACACACACACACTTACACACACACTTACACACACACTTACACACACACTTACACACACACACTTACACACACACACACACACACACACACACACACACACACACACACACACACACACACACACACACACACACACACACACACACACACTCACTCACTCACTCACTCAATCACACACACACACTCACACACACACACACACACCACACTCACACACACTCACACACACACACACACACACACACACACACACACACACACACACACACACACACACACACACACACACACACACACACACACACACACTCTCACTCACTCAAATGCACACACTCACTCACTCACTCACTCACTCTCACACACTCACTCACACACACACACACACACACACCACACACACACACACACACACACACACACACACACACACACACACACACACACACACACTCACACACTCACACACTCACACACTCACACACTATTGTATTTGATTATGTTCGAAATAGAATATAAGTAATACAATACACTTGTTTAGATGTAACCTATGTGAAAGCCACTCATACTCTCGGATTTCCAGGACACAGTCATATAACTGTTACTATAGTTTGCATGAGGTTTTGTATGGTTTCAGGTTCGAGAGTTTGTTTTGAGTATGCACTGTCTATCATAAAAATACCGAGTATGATGCATGAATGTGGTGATGTGTAAACATGTAATTGTAAAGGTAAGTCGGGCTTTCACATGATTTGAATTTGGTTTGCTAATAAAGCAATAGTTGCATTAGTAACCTGTCCTGGGTTTATGATTCTAATGTATGGGATGAACTGCTTTTGAATTAAATAAATGCACAAAGAAATTCTGGAGTTGATTAAATTTTCCTTTTTTTATAACCATATTCCCACCAGTATATTCAATAATGAAGCATATTTTCAGATAAAAAATATGTTATTAGAAAAAATAGTTGAATATATGGTAGAAAACTATTTATTGCTATTAATAAATAGTTTAAATTTTGAATTTTATTTATTTTTATTTTTATTTTTTTTTATAAGTAATGAACTGGTGTACATTTTTTTCAACTTCATTTTAAAAAACAAACTTTTGCGGAAAGTTGTTTAGAATGTTGGTACACTTAGTATGATGCACATTTACAAAAGATAATATGCTATGCATTACTTGTTTTGGCTTGACAATGTTATGTATAAAACTTTCTGCAAAATTGGTAATTAGGCCCAACATGCATGAATTTTGCTTGAGATGGTGATTTTGCATTTGGTAGAAAACAGATGAGACTATATAAAGAGAAAAATCATCTAGGACATGGTAAAATCATGACCGTAATCATGCAATTAGGGAATGTTTCTTACAATTTGTTTACAAAAGTAGAGAAAAAAATGAACATAATCAAGCCATGTAATGAACAGGTAGCGGGATGATTTAGTCTATGAGCTTACATAACAATTGCAGTTACTTTATATTTCAGTCTAATTTACAGAAAAATAAGCCTTTCAATTATTTACTAATTTAGTCAGCATAAATACTTACCTAACAAAGGTAGTCTTGCTTAATTTATTTGACCATGTAAATGTCAGGCATCCAGTAAAGCATGAAAATAAAGAGCTAAGCAAACATGGTTCCAGTGAATTAAGAATATCTACATAAATACATCAACGCGATTATACAAGACTTACATTAAAACTGTAAATGTCTGGTGCTCACAATACAAACCAAAGAACATAACATCAATGGCTTTTCATGTATTAGTTGCTTTATTATGTTTTAAACCCGTTTTAACCTTAGCTGCTTTGCTACAAAGTCCTTTGCTGTGCTGACATTGCTGAAGTGCTGTTCAGTAATTTGCCTGCTTAATGAAAAATAGCTCTTAAATTTTATGTTTAACTTTACTTTCACCTCGACATCACTTGCTTGTCAGTCTTTCAGTTGCATATTCTGAAATCCAACTTAATACTTCATCTCTCACCTGCTTGTTGCTCATTCAGTTATATATCTTGAATCGACTATCTCAATTTAATGCTTCATCTTGCTCTTGCAATACTCCTACTGCCTTAACTTCTGTGCTACACAGCTGCTTACCTGCATTATGATTCTCAAAGCACCCATGTATAGAAGTTATTCACAATAGGACCTCAGTAAAAGACACCATGGCATCCGCTTTCATTTTTAATATGAAATTACATTTGTTAGCTTTCACTTGCACAGATTACTTTATTAAGTAGAATGTTGTTTTACCTCTTTTATGATATATATACTGTCATACATACAATGTTCTGTTGCCCCATCTCTAGTTAACACTGTTAGCATCTGTAAATTTTAGCTATTGCCCACTGCCCTACCTACACCTTCATTATCCAAGCACTTGTATCCTACGTTAACCTTAATCTGAATCCAAGTCCCCTGTAAGTGCATACGCCAACATTATGTGGAATAATGAATGTACTGGTCCTTAATGGGCCTTTATGAACGAGATGAAATATACTTGTATAGGTAATCTGATTGTAAAATCTGAATAGAGGTTCTGTAGTAATTCAAGGAGAATGGCTGTTGTAGTTAAATATATATATACATTCTTATATCTAGATTGGGGATGTATGATGTATTCTAGAAAACGTTACATTGAGACATTCCTAGAAAGAAAATTATAGATTCCTCATCTGTAATGTGGAATTATATGTGAATTTGTATGTCATTTTAAGTATATGGTTTGAATAGCTGTGGAAGATTGTGAAATTCCATGAAGTATAGGGAATGTAATTCATATTTTGTTGCATTGGGTTAAAGTGATTATTGTGATGATAATGATCACAAGAAGCCATAATGAAATGTTGCCAAATGAAATGGGAAGTAGGTAGAACTGACACAGTCGATAACAAAGTGTAAAATGTGCGTTCCTAATGTTTTCTTAATCTTTTTATATTTTGTTATTTGTTATTATTTTTCCAAATCTTTAGCCTGCTGTTGTTTTATGTATATGTTCAGATTTTGGTAATAATATCTGCAATAACAATATTATAAATACATATAACTTCTGAAAACGATAAGGGAATATATATTTTAACTGTTATTAGATCGTAACAGTTAGTTATCATTACCGTCATTTCTTGCCCATTAATTATTTGTTATAGAAATGTATGTTAAAGAGATAATGTGATGTTTTTCACAAAGGTTGATTGGGAAACAAAGGAAAATCTTATGAATTTACATCGACCATCATAGCCCCTTCATTGGTGATTATAAATTCCATTGTTTGCTGTTTGTATATTCTTCTGTTGGCTTTGATATATATAAATCCGCTGAAGTAATACTGGGTGAGGACTTCCTCTTTAATTTCTTTATTAGTAGGACATTTTGCAAATAGATAAAGTGCGTACATGGTTAGTTAAACATATATCCGAAAATTCTGTAGTATGAAATAAGGTTTTTCTGCGTTGTTTTGAAATGCATAAACCTTTGTTGATTCTCTAACAGAAGACACCAGTTATTTTGGTATTGTTCATGTTAATTCCAATCTACTCAAATGTGTTGCTTGGTCAGGTATTTAAGGTTTGTGTGAGTGTGGGTGCCTTTCTGCACAGGCACGTGTGTGCATGTTTGTATGACTGTTTGTTTTGTCTGTGTTGTAATCTCATTTATCTGTATTAACCAAACATTTATTAGGACCAAGTCCTGGGTTTGTAGAACATACTCTTCTGTTGCTCATCCTTTTATTTAGCAATTACATACTACAAACGATGCTGTATTTAAATTGAAGTTTCTTTTTAATTATGTTAAGCCAACAATGGGAAGAGTGTACATTTTGTTGAGGTAACAGTGGGAAGGAGTATTAATTTCATTTTCTTTTTTATAATTTACTGGAGAGCTGATTGTTATTTTTTTTAAATGTGGAATTTATAAGGTGAAAGAATTATCAATTCTTCTGTGGTATTTACTAGAATTTGTGTTGCCTGTATTTCTTTCTTTATTGTTCAGTAAAATATTAATGACTAAAATGGATATTAATCAATTATGATTTATTACTAATGACAGTAATGCTCAGTTGGTATGCATGGTTGTATAGTATATATATGTATATTTTCCTTTTTTTTTTAAACAAAACAAATCATGTAAAGCACTCATCACAAAGTATTTTTTGTTCTTAATCTGTAAACAGGGCACACCATTGATATTTAGACTAACTTTCCAAATAATCTATTAACAATAGATTAGTGCTGTGTATGTGTTGCTATTATGGTCCTTCAGCCTGCTATGGTTTGGTGTTGTTAACTTGTAAACTTCAGTACATTCAGAATTAAGAGAAATTATTTCCTTGGTTCATTGTAAGTTTAGTGGGCATGTTGCTATATATACTAAGGGATGAAATGTTTCAGAATTAAGGGAATGTTTTCAGTGTATGAAAAATGGTGCTTCTAGTATGCATGATGGATGTTCAGTTTACATCTCGGTAAACTTTGAATTTAAAACGTTTTAAGACTAATAAGGATTAGTAATAGAAAAACTAACGAGCAAAGTTTGTGGGAATGTTAAGCCGTTGGTGTGTGTTATTTTTTACTTTTGCATAAGTTTGGGTTAATTACTTTCTAGTGATTTTAAGGTGATGAAACTTTATAATATATGACATTGGGATGTCTTTTCTTCTCTAAGGACGGGAGTGGAGACTTGGAGATTGGCATGGTAGCTACATTAACAATACTATTAGAACCTGTCAGGCATTTATCAACCAGTTATTAGCGCATCTGGCTGTCGATGGTTGCATAGAAATACACTGAAGAATCTCAAGTGCTTGCTGTTTCAGTTTATAGAAAATGGGGTATAAACTGTCTTGCAAAGTTTGGAAAATTTTACATTGTTTAAAAATATATTCTTCCATGGTGCATGTTAGGTGTTCTTGTTATTTCAAAGGAAGCTTTTAGTATAATTGTGGTGCACTAATGATAACACCATGTTGCAATAGAAATGAAATGAGGCAATTTGTAAGGCATGCATAACTTAGTGTGGTGCACATTGTGGTCTGTTTATCTCTGTAAAGTGAATATCATGATGACTTAGCTGCATTGTTAGGGATTTTTAGGCTTTTGTTGGGGTTTGGCATTGTCGTTATATTAACAGTAGTATTAGGGATTTGACAGCCCATTGTCATCCAGACATTTGAGTAACAGGCTTTTGTTGTTGTGCATATAAGGACACTGTTTTAAATTCTTGTTCCTTCAAGCATTAACTAGATTTCTTTATCTGTATGACGTGCATTTCTTCCACATAGAGTTCCGCTAGCAATTCTAACAACTAAGAGATTTTGTCAGGATCGTACTTGTCTCCTGTTTATTTGCGATGATTTGTACTGTCGTGTGATTTGATTTCTGTGCATGCTTCCTGTATTTCACTTTAGAAACAACCTAGTTTGGGTAGTCTCTACTGTTTTACCAGCAGATTATTTGTCTTCAAAATAGCTTTATGATCTGTCCCTTTGATTCAGTCAACAAAATTTCTATTTATTATTTTCATCTTTGGAGTTGTTTCTAGATATTTCCTTCCTTTTTAGAGTAAACTTTACAACATACACCTGAATTCTATTAGCAAAATGGTCTTTGATCTAAATACTTCTGATTTTGTGCCCTGTAAGCCATATGTACATCTTGACATAATTTTGCATTCAGTATTAAATAGAACTATGCAGACCCACACTGCAGACAAAGTAAAACATTACAGTGTGATGGTATAACATTGCAACTGAAAACTCTTACCATGCTTGCATAAACTGCTCCTTATAAACACACACACGCACACGCACACGCACGCAGCACACCACAACATGACATGCACACATACACATACACATACACATACACATACACATATACATATATATATATATATATATATATATATATATATATATATATATATATATATATATATATATATATATATATATATATATATACACAGTATATATGTATTATATATGTATATATATATTACACATACACATACATACAAATAAACAATATGCCCTTGTTAAACATTTACCCATTCAGCCTGTAAATTTCATTTAACTACTATGTTATGACAGATTTAAATTACTGGTGAATTTATAATACCAATATATATAGGGTTTTGGTTTTGCTTTCACTTTTCTTCTAGCAAAACTTTTTTTTTCATTTTAATTTTTTTTTATATGAAATCTGCTAATATTTTGGGGGCCTTGATATGCATCTAAAATCAGTAGTTCCTGATATATCTTGCATGTTAATTAATTGCCTATTAAGTAATATCTTGTTATAAGTGAATTCAACATTTAAGGTGTTTTAGTAACGATGGTCACTGAACTTTGCTCCATTTACATTACAAGACTGATGAGTTTACTTATTATATGATTGCCATTTTTTTTTCTCTTTATTCTGATGTGTACATTAGATTACTGTAGATTTACTAAATGTAAAATAATGCTATAGAGCTGGTATATTTCCTTCTTACACTTTCATAATTGCATTGCATAACAAACAAATGAAACAATTTATTGTTGCAATATTGGTAAAATCCTGTAGCCTTTATTTTCTAGTCTCCCCTGACTTGCGTTTGTATTGTCTTAACATCTTAATTTTCACACTTTTATCTACAAATTCCTTTGAATAAGTAGCTGTATCTTCCTCTGGATGCTTTTTGTTGTTTTATTATCAGTATTTACTTTCGAAGTAATTTATCTCACTTTACCGTTATGTATTTTATGTTTACCTGAGATTTGCTTAATCTTAAGTTTTAATATGAACGTGAATACATTCTTTGATAATGTAATTGGTAATACTGTATGACTGAAACCCTCTTTTATGATGTGATGGGTAATCCTGTATGATTGCTTCCATAAACTTTCATTCCTCAATGCATATATGTCTGGTTCCATATGTTATTCCTCTTTTAACTGCCTGCTCATAGTCATTAGTCAGTGTTTACAATTACAGCACATGGTACTTGATACACAGACATCTGCTTTTTCTTAATGTACATTTTTCTCAATGACCACCTCTTCAAG